TAATAATAATAATAGTAATAATAATAATAATAATAATAATAATAATAACAACAACAATAATCCGACGAGATAGATAACAGTTCGGGTTTGGTCTTGTTCAATCTGATCTTGTACTAATTTAATTTCATCACTTATTTGTAATGGGTTCATTCACTTACCACTTACGATATTGTCCCCACTGTCACTGATGCAGTTTGTACACTCGAACAAAATTTTACATATAAGACGCATACAGAAAGAAGTTGAGTCAGATTACTACGAAGTGAATGTTGCAGTTCATATCTCTGTCACTGCTTTTCAACTGTAAGATGTCACGCTCACGCCACAAACAGATTAGAACCACTGGTGATATCACTTATTTCATTTTAGCAGGGAACGCAGATGACTACTATAACGGATCGGGCCTGGTCTTACGAGAAGCATCCTCCGCCACTGAGTCGCGAGTTGCACTGACCGCTATCTGTGTCCCTTATCACACCGAGAGCCTGGCTTTCCCAAACTCTCTACTATCGGAGCAGAAGAGACACTGCTAATCAACAAGTCACAATAACACGTCTAAAACAAACATTAGCGTTGAATTAATACAGCACCTATAGCAGTCACTGATCCCAGCAATGGATATTACTAACAGCCATATGAACATACTCTTCAATGCTGTATAGGACTATAAAATTACTTTAAAAATGTCTTACGCTATAATATCGAGCAAATAATCATCTACTTCAGAACTCCCTTGATATCAGATGTTTTCATTTATAGGTTTAGAAAGTTCAGTTTTGACTTCATTCAGAAACATACATACATACATACACAAACTGTATATGTATGTTCATCACGGCTGAGTCGGAAATCATTCCTGTTCCATAATCTGGACGTCCTGAAGTCTCGGCTAAGAGACCGGCTATCTTCATTGAAGTCTGTGATGCCTTTGCTCAGTTTCGTTGCACACACTGCCCAACTTATTATTGCTCATCTTCGACGATAATTAATCGGAGCTATTTAAAGCGTCGTTAAATAATTCCATACATAAATGAAGTATTTCTATATCCATCTGTCCGTACCTCAGTCTGTCTCACGTAGGTTACCTAATTCCCAACTTATCCCTCTATCTGTCCATCCTGATGCAATTTTATTGAAAGTTTACGCACAAAATTCTAGTCTTAAATATGCTCCGAAATACGCAGACAGGATAATATTTAGAAAGCAGTCTTCTGGGATTTGGCACCGTGTACCACCACATATACATGGTGCCAAATCCCAGAAGACTGCTTTCTTCATAGTCACCGCCGTGAAAGCCTCTAATCTTACATAGGATAATATTTATTTTACATTCTCAGTATCAATACAAAACCTATAGCGTCATATTATTATATTTAAGCATCCTGTTGCGCTGAGGTTCCACTTATAGTCTACCAAATGTTCCGCCTATACTGCAACAATCCATAGCATTGACTCACACTTCAATATCAGACAGTAACGTCGAATGGTAGGATGGTTGGTAAGTAACACGAAGGATGCGGTGGTGACTTGTCATTAAGGCTCGTCTTCTCTGCCATGGTGTATCAATTCTGTCATCTCTGGTAGCTGATGTGCATTGCTTTGTGACATCAACTGTTACATCTGTGTAAATTCCAAAGCGGCGGTTCTTATGCAAATATTTGTCACCATCGCATTTTTTCCCCCCTTGGCTCTACAGCCCCAGTGGGCCTAGGCCTACCTCCGTGAACTTCTCCGTTCACTTCGGTTTTTCTCGATCTTACACATTCGGTAGGACTCCTTTGGCCGGTGATCAGCTCGTCGCAAGGCCTCTACCTGTACACAAACACAGAAAAACGCACACATACAAACTAAACATCCATGGCTGAGTGGAATTCGAACCCACGATCCCGGTTTCCAAGCGAGCGAAGACAGTACATGCCTTAGACCGCTCGGCTACCGTGACCGGCCACCATCGCATTTAGTAAATTATATTTTCATGAAAATGTTCGTAAACGTTCAGGGCGTAAAAGAAAACGACTTGAATATAACTTGCAAACGCTAGCCTCATTACTTATGTCTTTCTGTATACTTTGCACGAAAGAACTGGTGTTAGCACCATCTTGCCGCAACCCGTGAAAGATGAAACTTAGAGAAGAATTTGGATTTTTCACAGCTCTGAACAACGTCGGCAATAAAACATATTCTGCATTACTTTATTTATATCTATCGCCATATTTTACCATTTTATAATTTTTTGAAATTTAATTATACATGTTGTTCTAAGTTTCTGCAGCTTGGTCTTTCATGTTACGTGAAGGGCAAAAATTGAGGATGTTTTAGTGTAGGGTCGAGTGGGTTAGAGTCCTGCTTCATATTCCAGAGGATCCGGATCCAAATTTGGACCTGAGGTTTCTGTGGCTTTTCTCACTAACCGTACACAACTGCCAAGATAGTATAGTACTTCAAATTAAGACATGACCGCTTCCTTCTACAAATAAAAACAAAAACTCCGTGGTGTTAGTCCGCAAAGGAATTATACCGACCGAGTGACCGCCGCTTTTCGGCGAAGTTAGTGCCAGCTTTAGCTGACAGACTCTGTGGTCTAGTGGTCAGAGTTCCTGGCTACAGATCCAGAGGTCGGGGGTTCGATTCTCGGCGCTACAATATTTTCTGAGAAGTAGTGGGTCTGGAACGGTGTCCACTCAGCCTCGTGAGGATAATTGAGGAGCTATTTCAAGTAAATGGTGGCTCCGGTCTAGAAAACCGAAATTAACGGCCGTGTGGATTCGTTGTGCTGACCACGCGACACTCTCTATCCGCTTCCTACATACTTTCTAATTCATTGTTTAGAAATCATCCTACTATACGACGCTATACTTTCTGAACTCTTAAATACATCACAAATAAATTAACAAGTAAACAAATAAATAAATAGGATAATGAGAATATTCTGAGCTAAGAAATTGGAAGTAACATGAATGTGAGATTTGAGATTGTTACGGTGATGACAATAAAGATTACTGTCTTTCGTAATGTGGCGTCGTATAGTCTAGTAGATTATTATACGCGTTTTGGGGTAACGTCCTACCTCCATCTTCTGGGCAGAGAAACAATCTGCCGGCGTCATATCCCAGAAGACGGCAATCTACATATAAGAGAGAGCTGGAAGGAAAGACTCTATGATGCATCCTCTTCACCAAGTGGGTCTATTACACAGTGAGGATGAGACAGTTTCGTAAGTCTCTAGCTTCCTCCAGATAGTTACTTTCTTAGGTTGATATGCATTAGGACATCTCCTTCCAGGATGTTGTGCAACATATTGCCTAGCTGAGATCATACTCGATTGCGTAGACCTGTACTCTTTGACAGTGTTGTAAACTATTGTAAAATTAAGCTGCAGGCTTATCTAAATGTGTGGAGTTCTCATCACAGCAGAAATGCAGAAGTTACATGATTTACGATATACAGAATATTATAGAGTTAATACCACAAATAGGCACATGGTCCATCAGGGTAATTCAATGGTAACATCTAATGTCTTGTTGAGAGATACCCGATCTGTAGGCACCGACACGTCTCACTGTATTTCCGTGGTTTACCTAAGTTCCTATAAATGAACGACATCAAGTGCCTCTAAACAGGCTTCTGTTACCTCTGATGGGTCACCGAACGACATAAAAGAACATTATCAATTCATCCAACGTTTAAAAACTTCTGTAGTTAATATAGGGTCGGTTTTTTAATCTACAACAAACATTCTGTGGCTCTTCTTCCCCGTTCAGCAGTTTCATGTGCGCGCAGGTACATGTCACGTTTAAATGAAGCGAGTGATAATTTCGTTACTTTTGCACAAAATACTGAATAACGCAAGGTTGCCAGACATCTAATATTTCACAGTACACTTGTCCAATTACCCTCCTTTTCAGACACATTTAAAAAATACTCCTAACATTAGTTTTGTGGTGTCCGTATGCGAGTACGAGAGTCATGAATACGAGACTACTTTGGATGAAATTAAATATCGTAGGCCTATAGTAAATTTTTCTGAAGCTATTCTGATTTTAATTCAATGTGGTTTATTTTAAAAATATCACAAATTGTTTACGTAGAATTTTACGTGCATCGATTTATCCCTTTCACATATTCTGACGAAACCTGATGTACGGTACTTATACTGTACTGGTACGTCATGTCATATATGTCTAGCTTACCTACCTGCATTACAGTGGGCACTGACTTTTACATATCACCCCAATTATTCGTCATTTGTCAGATTCTTAAATAAAGTATGTGGTATATTCACTGTACTATTCTTACCCTGCGTGATTTAATTTTAATTCTCACTTTACTGCAGATCTAAATACATCACTTGGCAGGTATTTATGAGTATTCATACCTTAAAAAGATCATAAATAAAATTTGTATAAAAGGTAAAGTTGCCTCTGTGCCTAATTAAGCATCACGCAATAGAGAAGGTTGGTGGAGTGGAGGTATAGCTCCATAGATTCTTAATATCGGTAAAGTAAAGCTATCCCTGTACCAGGCCGCGAAGGTCCATAGGGTTNTGTTTTTATACGGGTTGTGACTGATTCAGTTTGGGGGGCAATAATCCCCGACCACTCTTCTGAAAGAAACACCGTATCTGGCCCCTGATGGTGTTCTATAAACTAAATTTGGCCCTCGAGATGTATTAGGTTGGCCAACGCTGTTCTAGACAATCGGCTCATAGATAGCGGCAAGATTGTCAGCCCTACAAGCCGGCCGCCCTTTACCCCCAAGAATATTTCTGGTACTCATTTCTGTTAGAGGCTGAATCCACCCCAGCGCCATAGTGCGGCTGGAAGGATTAGGTCTATTGAAAAAAATCCAATGACCTTATCGGGACTTGAACCCGCGACCTCCCGGCTTGTAACATATAGTGGCGAATAGTCAGCTTCATGCCACGCCCACTTTACCTCCAGGGAAAGTGCCCCATGCCATTTGATAGGTTTTATAGCCAGATTTGTCCCATACAGTATTCACATAAAAGCTTATTGGTATCCAGAAGATCAGTCAATAATGTATTAAGTGCATGCCATCAGAAGTGTTGTAGCTTCTGTGATATTTCTGCCACCTAGCTCATGTCTGCTCAATTTATAACATAATGACTATACGAAGACACGGTAGGATCAAAATTATTCTCTTCTCCATGTCGTCCAGACCAGCTCTGTGGTCCACTCAACCTCCTATCCAAAGGATACCGAGGGCTCTTTCCCTGGAGGTAAAGCAACCAGGGCACGAAGCTGACCACTCACCTCCATCTAGTGCTGAGGTCACGAAAATATGGATCTATACATAACCTCCCCCATATGCCATCATGGAGTAGTTTAATTAGTTAAGCACAGGGACAACTTTTACCTACATGAAGACAACTGAATGGAATCATTTGTTAAAATAAAAGAAACA